CTCCACAATCCTCTAATTTAAACCCTGGCTGAAAATTTTTAACTAATGATTGATTGATTGGTGAATTGAATGGGAGTTACTTGATAACTTTGAAGTTTATTTGAAGTTTTGTTGAAGAAATTTGGTCACAACTCGATGAGCTCATCTGGGCATCGCATACCTTTGTTGAAGTAACTTCACCCTTATTCACTTATCCTTTGGAGGGTTTGTGTTCAGAAAAGATAGGCAAACCTATAAATTATACAATAAATGAAATTACGCAATAACCAGGGGACGTGCAAACAGCACGGAAAGTCCTGGCTCTTATATATGGCTGCTAGTGGTAATCTCAAAATTAAAAAGTCATTTTTTCTTAATTTTTTTTTTCACGTTGAGGCGTGGTAAATTTCCATCAAAAAAAAATTGAAAAAAATTGTATTTGTTTTGAGTTGACCAGATTGGGTGTTCGGTGTCTCTTGTTTGAATTGTTTGAAATCCCCTTACTAAATTTGAGGAGAAAAAATAGAAAGTCCACAAATTTCAACCCAATCCAAGTTTAAAGTACGCGACCCCCCTTCCCCCCCCCTCCCCCCCCCCCTCCTACTGCCGAGACATGTACAGTCCTACATCTGTTCTCCTCCATCTCAGTATCAGGATACTTTGGCCCGCCGTTAATTGATGCTGATGTTGTATATCAGTTGATGTCTGTAGAAGCAACCAACCAAAAGAACTGATTTGTTTCAGAGTACAAAAGGAGCGGCCCCAAAGTGGACCCCAACTGCAGAGACATGTACAGTCCCATCTCGTGCTGGCACAGACGAAACCAGTGCAGAAACCACTACAGTCTCCGACTCAACTGCCAGAAGACGTGCCAGGTCTGCGTCCTCCCCCGCCAGGGCTAAACACTCCAGGGGGGCTAGTTCGATACATGTCACTGGATAACAAAAGAGAAGATGAAACAAAGAAATATCATAAGAAAGTAGAAGAAAACTGACAGAAGTAGTATCGAGTAGAGTGTAAAAAGAAACACTGGGAAGAGAAGCCGTTGATCTAATGATATTTATGTGTAAAGATAGAGCAAATACTTTGTAGACTGATGGTGGGTGCCGGATCAATTAAAGCTTGAAATCTCCTACTGGTTTTCTCCTATAGGAATTTCTAGTATAATTAATTGTTCGTATTGTTAATTGACTTTTTATGATGCCTTCGTGCAAAGCTGCAATTTGAATCTAAAGCTGCAATTTGAACCTTCTCAGAGAAGAATCTTTATTTGTTTCGGCTCATTTAAGTTTGTTTTAACCTAATTGCAGATCTGTTGAGTTTCCATACAAATTATTCTTTGTAAACCAAGTCGCCATCTCCATCTAATACCAACAGTGAATAAGTAATTTTGCATTGATTCATTTATATTTTGACAAACAGTGTTTTTGAGTGATTTTACAACTGCAAACGACACAGGGTAGAAAGTGAGGTTCTCGTTCCACGGTATAATCTCATAAAGAAAAAAATGGTTAGTGATGTGCAAAGAGCACAGAACGCTCCGATTACAATAATCAAAAATTAACAAAAAAACTTTTTTTTTCAATCTGTTTCGTTTTTTTTAAGTCGTGCGATGAGAAGATTTGACCAAAAATTTTGAGCTTACGCCATCAGTGGATTTAGGGGGGACGCCTCCCTCTTCATGTTTCCGACCCCCTGCCGATCCAAAGGGTCCCCTTTTGTTTTATTTTAAGATCTCATTTTTGGAACCAAATTATACTAAATTTGAGGAAAGTAGGGTCTTTATACTGATTTTTGAGAGCTCGGAAAATCAGTTTGGTCGGCCTAATAAAGTCGGTAAAGTTTCGATTTCGTTTTTGAAAATCGGACGCCTCGAGAAAATTCTTGATCCGCCCCTGGCTTGGGCATAGTCGATAATAGTAGTAAATTAGGTATATACGACAATAAGCTACCTGGAAAAGAAATCTTTAAAAAATTTCAAGTAATTTTCCTAGACTTTTTTGCTGAACACTTTTTAGTTTGAAGTCAGGGGTTTTTCTAGAGTAAAATGCAAGCATTTGAAACAAAGATGTCAAAATTGACTTCTAAAAGCTAAAATGCAATTTAAAAAAAATTAATTGTCAAAATTTAGGTCGAAGGTTATTTTTTTTATGGAAATTGTGATTCTCACTTCCTAATTGAAATACTCCCTTTTTTATTAACCTGATAACAACTTCAAAAATTTTTTTGGACCAAATTTTTTAAAATATGCTTACAGAATCAAAATCCCGAGAAAAAAAGGGTTAGCTTTGATACCACCCTTGATGCCCTAGGCGTGATTTTTGATATGCCTGGAATTGCGAGATTAAAAACCATCACACAAAATTTTCCCACTCTTGGTCGCAAAAAAAAACTGAAAATTTGAACAACATCGCAATCACTCCATATCATCTTATATTTTAATGCAGTTAAATAATCAAACGCGCTTTTCTTGTGACCAATTCTACACCGCCCTTTTTTGTCTATTTTTTGCACTTGATATAAAAAATAAGTAGAATTGAAATTTTTTTTTATTGAAAACAAGAAAAATAAAACTGCTCTTTATTTCGCCTCCACAAGTTTTTGGAAAAATCAATACTGCTAAATTATACATACTGCCAAAGTCAATACTGCCAATTTTGTAAAAGAAAAGTTTTGAAAAATCGTAAAATCATAGAACCAGTTGGCTTGACTGATTTAATTCAGACTAATTTGGTTGCGTTACAATATTTCGTTTTACATTTTCAGCATCATAGATAAAGACTTCAAAATTTTTCCCAAGCTGTTTCAGCATACTTTAAATCTTTTATAATAATGCGTTGCACACTGTTTGGGAACTCGTAGTTTTCAATTTTGTTTCCCACAAATTGTTTGAGTTCAAAATGTTTGAGTTTAATAAGGGATGATTCTAAAAACTTTGAGTGCTCTCTGAACAATTTTTGTTTCAATTTGATCGCAAAACACAATATGGAATTTGACAGGTGATATATTTTGCGTCTGTTTATTTATTATTAGAATAAGTTGCTTGGTCAGATCACACTCTAATGGTTTACTTTGTCGCTAACGTCTTATTAAGATGAAATTTTGTAATAACTATCCAATGTTGAATAAATGCCCGGGTTATGTTCACATTGAGTTGAAATTTAGCGCTAAAAAGTGAAAAAAAAAACAGCGATTGACATTGATCAATTATTGATGTTCATTGCCACCACAGCAAATTTTATCGATAGATTATCGCTAATTGGGCTTTTTTCAGCGATGAAACAGCCTTAAAAAATTTATAAAACTCAACAAAAAGAGTAAACTATCGGGGTTCGAATCCGCATCTATCGCTACCTCTGCGCCACCATGCCTTAGATACATGTAATTTTAGGGTTTATTAACTCGCAATCTCATTTGAAGGCTACTATTTGAGCTAAAATTTTTTAAGTTTCAGAGCAGATTTTCTACGGAATCATTACTGAAATAACTTTGAAACATCGCAGGTTTAGCTATGCTAAAAAATCTGAGTTGTACAAAAACCAGCGCTGGAAAATAGCGATCACTAGGATTCTATAGAAAAACCAATAATTAACTCGGGACTTCAACACGGGAGCTCGATAATTATCCAATGTTGAATTATAGTTTTCAAATCCGCAGTCAAACCCCTTTAACTTGGCAAAAAAGAAAAAAGACCACAGCAAAAAATTGTTTTTTTTTAGTTTTTGAGCCCTCATATTGTTTAAAAAGTTCAGAGGACTTGCATCCAATTCCATACTTAAAAGTTCAAAATTTGTCCGAATAAATATATCGAGCACAACTATTTCGTCAAAATCTTCAAAACTTCGAAAAAGTAGGTTTTAACCCGTATTATTGGGGGGTTGTTTTTCAAATATAATAATAATCACCCTTAAAATTTGTTTTTATCAAATAGCTTTTGCTCATTGAATGGCTTCTGATGTTGAAGCAGATTGATTTTTGTTTGAACCTAATTGTAAAAAACTGCAAGATACATTATTCAAGACAATTTGATGAACATATCTTGAAAGTCACTTTGTTGAAGTCAAATTTATTACTCCTTAGTTCGGAACAAATCATGCTATTATTAAAAGATTTTACCGCATTTTTCTTGAATTCATGTGAGATAATTCATGTCATGAATATCCTCGGGGGAGGGAGATCTTATATGGAACCGAAGGGGAAGGAGTTGAGCCAAGTTTTTTTTTTTTGTTGTTGTTGTTGTAAAACAATTAAAGTGGTCTTAAATCTTCTTTTTTGGGGTTACGAGGGCAAGTTTCACCGCTCGTCTCGTTAAAGTACCTAGGGCTGTTTTCAGTTTACACGAGCGCGCGATGCCATCCGAGCCGGTAAAAACTTCTAACACTCGACCCAGTGGCCAGATGCCTCGTGGTGTAAAGTCCTCAAGTATCCACACGAGGTCATCTTTTTCGAGTGGTTCCTCGGGTTGCGTCCTTCTGCGCAACCCGAGGAACCACTCGAAAAAGATGAGAGTCGGAGCGTACTCTTTAAGTAGACGCCTCCAGAAATTGTCAAGTCTATCTTTTGCTCGCTTCCAGGACTTGTTGGACAGTTTATTGGTAGATGCTTCGTAGAAGGCTGCTGCTGGAGCCTAGACGAATGGATGACCCATTTAGAAGTGGTTGGGTGTCAGTGGAAGGTCGTCGTCAAGGTCGCTACTGACATGAGTTAGCGGACGTGAGTTGAGGATTGCCTCGGTCTCGGCTACGATAGTAGCAAATAGATCTCTTGATAGTCGATCAGAACCGAGATTTAGTAAGAATGCTCGTTTTATCAATGAGACGAGTCGCTCCCACACGCCGCCAAAATGGGGGGCAGCCGGAGGATTTAAGCGCCATTCAACATTGTGGATTTGTAGCGTTTCAGTTAGGGTGGTTTCGTTGAAATTGATGGGTTCTGAGCGTACTTGTTTACGCGCGCCGACGAAGTAAGTAGCGTTGTCAGAGATTAAAAGCTTAGGTGTGCCTCTCCTAGCAATGAAACGTCTAATTGCCGTTATACAGTTGTTCGTAGTAAGGTTGTCTGTCGATTCCAGGTGAACCGCGCGAGTAGAGAGGCATGTGAAGATGCAAATATAGTTTTTTTTCAGTTGTATCCTTTGTTGCTATGTAGAATGGCCCGATATAGTCAATTCCTGTGTTTTTGAACGGAAATGGGTCGTCAGACGGATCGTCGAAACGAGTTGGCGGCAAGTCGGCCAAGAATGGCTGTAGCCCTTTGCCTTGGAATCTTCTGCAGAGAAAGCAGTTATGTCTTATCTGTCTGAGTGTTTTTCGGAGCCCAATGATGACAAAACTTTGTTGCAGGTAGTTGCGAATGTACTCAGTGCCGTGGTGCATGCAGCGGCGATGAGCGCTCTCGATCATCATGCGCACAATTGGGTCCTTTGCGTTAAGAATTATTGGATATTTTGTTGCGTCCGGTAAAGGTGAGTTTTGTAGTCGTCCTCGCGCGCGAATAACACCGTTGTCGAGAAAAGGTGACAGCTGTTGCAGTTTGTCTTTGTTTTCAACTTGTTGCTTGGTTCGTAGTTTATTGTAGGTGTCACCAAAGGTTTCCTGCTGGGACTGTTGATAAAGGAGGAGCTTAGCTTTTTCTAGGTCTTTTATAGTGGTAGAACGTTTACCGTTTCCCTTAAGTGTATCGACAAAAACTATAACCCGAGCTGTGACCCGAACTAATCGAAACCAATCTGAAAACCTGGAAGAATCGATTAAGGGTGTAGTTGAGGGGCTAACCGTTGCAGCATTACTTTGTTCCATTATTTCCTTGGTCCCCCAAATAGGCTCATTGTTGAGTAGAAATTGTGGTGCATCCAACCAGAGCTTTGCTACGTCTTTAAGTTCAATTCCCCGTGTAGCACTGTCTGCTGGGTTGAGTCTACCAGGGATGTGTTTCCATTGTTCGGCTTTGCATAAAGTAAGTATTTCACCAACTCTGTTTGCGCAGTAAGTTTTCAGTTTACCAGGTGAAGCGATCCAGGACAAAACAGTAGTGCTATCCGTCCAAAAGTGAGTGGAGTGGGGTTTTAACTGCATTTCATCAGTAGCGAACTTGCATAGCCGAGCACCCATAAGGGCGGCTTGTAATTCCAGTTTAGGAATGCTCTCTTGGTTCAGTGGTGCTACCTTTGTTCTGCCAATCAAGAAAGTAGCGTGTATGCCAGAGCTACAAGCAGTTCGGAAGTAGATGCACGTAGCCATTGCGTCTTGCGACGCGTCGCAGAAAACATGAAGCTGTATATCACTAGGTGACAGCTGTGGACCAAGTAAGCGCGGCAGTCTAACAGGGGGTACTTGTTTGCATTGGTCAACCCATTTGCCAATTATCAGAACAAAGTCACTGGGCACGGTTTCGTCCCAATAGATACCAGACTTCCACAAGTTTTGCAGAAGAATTTTGAGTTTTATGACAAACGGCGCTAGGATGCCTAAGGGGTCGAAAACCCTTGCTACTGTAGAAAGAACTGTTCGGAGTGTAGATGATGTAGTATTATTTAGCTTGGTTGTTGGTTGCACGAATATCGTATTGTCAGTTGTGTCCCATTTGACACCCAGAACACGATGCACTGTAGCATTAGTAGAAACTTCGCCTCCATCAATGGAGTAGATCGCGTCATTAGTGTTAGATACGAACTTAGTTAGGTTGAATCCCCCCTGTCTTAGGGAGGATTTTAGTTGCGTAGTAGAGTCTCTAGCCTCGTGTGTCGTGTTGAACGAATGAACAAAGTCGTCCATGTAAAAACTTTTTTGAAGCAGTTGAGCAATAATGGGTTTGGTTACGCAGTAATCGGCAGCTGTTTGATGAAGCGCAAAGATGGCAATGGATGGTGAGCATTTTGCACCAAAGATAAGTCGCGTGTATTGGTATTGTTTGATACCATTTTTAGTAGGCCAAAGGAAGCGAAGCGCCTTTTGATCTTCATCTTTAATACCTATTTGCATAAACATACCTTCAATATCCTCCGATACAGCCACAGGTTTTTCCCGGAATCGTAGTAGAAGTCCAAACATGTTGTTCAGGAGGTCAGGTCCAGTTTCGAGGCAAGAGTTCAGCGAGACGCCCTTGTAGGTTGAGGCAGCGTTAACCACTCTGCGTACCTTTCCGGGCTTGTTTGGATTAGTTACAGGGTGATGTGGGAGGTACCAAAGTAATTCAGGTTGTGGGTATTGGAAAGTAACGGGCTTGACGTAGTTATTTTCCAGGTCGGTACTAAGCGATTTCTCATAGAGTTGCATGGCTTCAGGGTCTTTTCTGAGCCGTTTTTGTAGCGATAGCAGTTGAGCTTTAGCTACCGGATAATTGTTTGGCAATTTTATTTCGTTGTTCCAGAGTAGATTTATTTTGTAGCGATCTCCATCGTGCTCAATACTTTTTTCCATAAATTTTAGTTGTCGTTTGCTTTTATCAGAGTATGTAGCTTTGTTATCTTCCTGGATGCCTGACCCTTCTACTTTCCAGAAATTTTCCACTAATTCAGTGAGATTAGCGTCTTCTTGATCATTTAAGTCAATGAAGTTAGTTGAGTGTGAATTTGATCGGGAACTATTAGATTTCTGGTTGAGTGGGCCAGTGATCGTCCAACCTAGTAGGTTTTTTACAGCGTAGGGGGTGCCTGTAGGACCTTTTCTGATATCGCGCTCCGCAATATTCCAGAAAGCATCTACGCCAAGCAAAATTTGAACTGTGTTGTCTCCTAGTTCAGGAAAGTTGACATGTCGAAGGTGATTGTAGAGTGAGCACGTTTTGTTAAAGTTGTTTGCGTCGATAGCGTCAAAACTCAGAGCTTCAACTGAATAGACTGATTGTAGGGTGAAAGTAGGTTTTGTAGCGTTATGTGGTCCGATACTAAGCCGGACCAGCGAGGAAGACACTTTGTCGTTACTGAAAGCACCTCGTACGCTAAGCTCTAGTTGTTGGCTTGGTTTGCACTGAAGTGTTTCAGCTGTTTTGCTGAGGATATATGAGCAGCTGCTGCAGTTGTCGAGTATGGCGTAGCAGTCTAGTTTGATGCCATTGTTAAACAGTGTTATCGGCATAAATTGTAACTGATTTCTGATGTTGTTCATATTTTGGATTGGATCCTCAGCTTGTTCCGAGGGCTTGGTTACTGTAGTGCCAAGCTGCATGTTATTTGATTTTTGGTTGTGCGTTTGAAACGGTTTTTTGTCGATGTGTAGAGTTGAATGGTGTTTCCCTCCGCAGTTGTTGATGAAACATCGCTTAGACGATGTGCATTCACTAAATCTGTGTTGGCCTAAGCAGTTGAAGCACAGCTTATGTTGCTTCACCAGCTCTGCCCGTTGATCTACGGGAAGTTTCAAAAAGTCCGGACATTTTCCAACGTAGTGAACTTGGTTATCTATTGGACACTTAAAGTTGTTGGTCTTGCTGATATGCCTGAAGATTTGTCGTAGTTTTGCCTGGACATAGAAGTAAATTGGTTGGGTCGGCTGTCGGGTTGTTGTTGCTTCTTAGGTTGGCGATTTCGTCCCGCTTGGTTTGGAGTCGACGGGTCTATGTCCAGGTTCTCGCATGCTCGCGAGTAGTTATTGAGGTACTGCGTCAAGTCTTTGAGTGTAGCATAATCGAGATCGTGCAGCACGCAGTGTTCTTCCCACTTCATTAGTAGAGTTACTGGGAGTTTTGATCGAGTAAATCGAGTCAGGTTACTAGAATTTAGATCAGCGGTGTAGCCGTTGAGTTCGAAGTTGTGGATTAGTTTCCGTAGGAAAGCAGCGTATCTTATGAAGCCCTGTGGTTCGCTTAGTATCAATTTGCCAAACTTTTCAAGTTCCCTGATGAACGCTGACACCACATATTTTGGGTTACCGTATCTACGCACTAATTCAAGTATTGCCTGTTCATACTGAGAAGAATTGGTTCCGTAGCTCTCTATTAAAGATTTAGCATTATCAGTGCATAATGACTGCAAGTAAGTTATTTTTTCAACCGGGCTTAGGCGTGGGTTGTTGCCAATCGCAGTCTGGAAGAGTTCGAACCAGTTGTTCCACTCCAGTGGGTTGCCGTCAAACTTTTGTAGTTTTATATCTGGCAATTTGAATCCTTTCAAACTGTAGTTGATGGCAGTGGTCGGATGACTGGTAGTGTGGTTGGTGACTTGTCTTTGTTCATTATCGAAAAGGCTGTTGCGTTGTTGTTCGTGTGATTGTAGGATAGTCCTATGATGATCATTGAAGTGGTTGGTAACGAACTGTTCAGATGTAGTAGCAGGACTATTTGCAATTGAAGTTGTTAGCATACCATGTCGGTTATTGCCAGTTGACATCTGGGCTTCGTGTCTTGAGTTGTCGTTCCAAATGTGATTTTCATTGGAAACTGGTGGAGGCGAGAAGTTGTATCGTAGAGGAGCTCGAAAGTTGAAAGTACATGGGTTTGCAGACGGTGAGACTGATCTGAAATCAGTTGTAGAAGTAGTGATGACACCGTTGATTGTCTGATCCATAGCTCTGTTGGTTCCCGGTAGAGGTGGGAAACTGTAGCGTTGGGGAGCGTCTAAGTCGAATGTACTCAAGCCGTAGGTGGATGTGTAAGTTGAGAAGTCGGCAGCCGTAGTACTGATGAAGTTGTTGGCCAAGCTTTCAGTAGTATTTGAGCTTCTTACTGGTACACTGGCTGTTGCAGATGTGCCTTGCACTCTATGTGGGCTGTTTGACCTTGTGGAAACTGAACCATCGTTTGTTAAGACCTTTTCGTATTTTCTAACATTGATTAGTAGGTCGCACTTTCGTTTTCGTAGCGTTGAAGCAGTGTTGAGGCAGTCTTGTGCTTCCTGAGTAGAAAAAGCGGCTAAGTCGTCTGCGAGCGTATCAAGCAGGTCAAAACAAGTGGTTATCTCCTCAAAACTGAGTTTAACGTACTCGATTTCGCTTGAGTTGGCTATTTGCCTCGTTACTTCTTCCTCAAGCTCCTCGAAAGTACTGTAGCGGCGTCTCCATTGATTGAGTAGCTGTTGTAAGGTGGCTTCGTTGGAGCCATTCAAGAAAGTAGTACAAAGAGTAGAAAAGATGTATTAAAAGTTAACGAGCTCGGATGGCAGCGATCGCAGAGTAGTTCCGGTAATGACGCTTTTTTGAGCTTTCTCAAGATTTTTACTATAAGTTAAGTTTAATTTTTTGTTAAAGTCAACCAGCCACAGGGTTAACCCGGTGGTTAATTAAACAAAGTGAGCTACAGCTCACGCAGTTATGAGCTTTTTAATTATGGTTTTAATTATTTCATGTGAGATAATTCATGTCATGAATATACATAATTCAAGTTTCTATTTTTCTTCTCAATTTTTAAACGCCTTTTTTCTACAGTGAAGATCCAATAGCTTCAGAAACTCAAAAGAAGGTTTGGTTAAATCTATTTACATAAAGTTGAAAGTTCATTGAATTTGAGAAGAGCAGGTCCATGAAAAGAAAACGGTTTGTTTTAATTTACGAAAAATTTCCGCTCGTTTTTTTGTATTTAAGCTTTATCAGAGATGAAAAAAAAAATAAAAGAACATCTTTTTATATTTCCCCTGGATAAACATTAGATTCACATTTCTATACCACAGATTATTCAGAGAACGCCTATAAACTATACTCCATGTCTGTATGAATAGCATTTCCTTATTTTTTAAAATCGAATATTGATTCTTCAAACCTTGTCACATTTGGTTCACCGCTTAAGTGGATGATTCGTTACAACCCCATTGGGTCCCACTGAATCAGGGATGATTCTTGTTGCAAGTTCAAGACAAAGAGTCTCAGAATTCAAACCGTAATATCCTTCCTTTCAGGTGTTGAAAGTTTATACCTTAAGTTCAAATAAGGGGTCAGTTTGGCAGTAGAGTGTGTTGAATGTTTTTTTAAAATTCTTTTTCGTCATTTATTTTTGATGATTTGGTCTAGGGCGGGGAAAGGGGTGCTCTAATATTACAAGGCGATATTAATTTCCGGTACCTCTGAGGCTATGCTTAATACTTTTGCCAACATCCTAATGAAAAATATATATCTTTTACATTCATATGCTTTTTTCTGCCCGCGTCATTATTTTTTACAAATCTAATTTGTAATAATTTTTTTTGACCTACAATAAGCTTAAATGCGGGCCAAAAACTCTCAGAAAACAATTGACCGCAACTGGGTTAACTAATTTTATTTTACTCCGGCTTTAAAAATTTGGTTTTTTCTGTTATACGGCCCAAAATGGATTGTAATAATATTTGAAAAAACTGACCATAATGCTCGAATCTGATTGGTTGATACTAATTCTAGCGAAAAATAATTCTAGATTTTTAGGCACTCGTTTACTTTTTTGTCCCTCAAAATGCTGTGGTGGTCCCTAATAAAAACAGAAGTACAGGATTTGCGTAATTCTCACAGTAAGCAACTTAATTTTTCTATGTTGGTAAAACAGTTGGCTTTGATTGTTTAGAGGGTACGAAATCTGTTACCAACCTCATGCGTAGGTTCGAATCCCGCGCTTGCTTTTCATTTTAGGAAATAGGCGGGACCAAACCTGTAAACTCGTACCATACTTTTCTGGCGGAGCAATTCCCAATCATCTTTGAAAAATGCAAGGGCAGTAGCTAAGATGATTAAAAGCGGATGCGTGTGAATAAATTACTTTTTCACTGTCGCGACGCGAACTGAACCAAATCCATATTGCACCTGTTTTAATGTCCTAATTACTCCAACTGACGCCAAATTAATCATTATCGCTGACATAGTCTGACGCTAGAAAGATCAACAAGGAAAAAGGCAAACAGAAATCATGCTAAAGAAATAATGCACAAAAATCGAACTAATTTAGAACTACGTTTTAGATACGCATTCTGTTCGATAGTTATGAATCAATAAGATGAACGAGAAACTAACGAAATAAAATTAAAAAAAAACAAGAATAAAACAGACGAAAAAAAATAAAGAAGCAGAAATGCGTATTCTGAGTTTTAAACACGCGTTCAGTTTTTCCGTTTTACGAACTATTTGTTGAATGGGCAAAATTTAATATTTGTTGCTTAGTCCACGAATAAACTCGTCCGCCTCAAAACTTCGCTCAAAATCATCCACACGTTCAGCAGAATTTTCCATCCCTTTCAAAAATCTAATTAATATGCTCACGCGCATAAGAGGAATGATCCGCTTATTCAGACGTAAATTATTGCTGTTCTGACTTTCGTAACGAAAGTAAAGGAATATTTGTGCTTGGGGTGGTTTTTTTCCTCTGACAATGTTTGACTTTTTAACTAGCCATGTTTGACGGGGTTTTAAATATCATGCAAAAAGTATTGATGTGCAAGCTTAAATTTGAAAAGCTATTTCTTCTGTGACTATTTTCGGACACCTTAAAAAGCTGTCTGGAAAAGCAGAGCTTCTACCTGATACGAGCAGTTTTAGTTTTGTTTTGCAAATAATTAATGAACAGAACATAAATTAAAATTATTCTGAAATTTGTAATTGCTAACCGTAACCGTGATCTATTTCGAGCTATTGACGCCTAAGCGAAAATTTAATCCGTCTTAGAAATTGTTTCAATTTGTTTGAGCGAAGCTTATTTACTATAATTGATCAGTTACTTCGAGCAAAAACGTATCACTTTCTACTTAATATTGCGTGTGAGGAGATAATTTTCACAAAAAAAATCTCAAATATAGTTTTTTTTTTCGTTTTATTTTATTACATTTTTTTTTCAGGTTGTTACTGCTCCATACACCTTAAAAAGCTGTCTGGAAAAGCAGAGCTTCTACCTGATACGAGCAGTCTTAATTTTGTTTTGCAAATAATTAATGAACAGAACATAAATTAAAATTATTCTGAAATTTGTAATTGCTAACTGTAATGTGTGATTTTTTGATTTATTAAACACTATCCATGCGTACAGAGGCGGGTTTAGGGAGGAAATTCTTTTCCCATCATAGATTTGACCCCCTGCCGACCCAAAGGGTCCCCTTTGAACTTTTTTGTGATATGCATTTTTGACTGACGGACCCCAAAATTTTTCTTAACGCGCCTTTGGCGCCAATTTATTATACTAATTATGAAGGGGGAGCTAATTATGAATTTTTGGCGTGTTTTTTCAAATTATTGCCTGCGGCGCAGAATATTTAACCAAACCAAGGTTTTTTTAGTACTTT